AACATATATATTCTTATTCTCCCTGATAATTGTTCTTCTATTTGTATATTATGAATAGATTGTACTAAAGTTATGTTATTAGCTAATAATTTAAGTATATATATTAATTTTATTTCTCTCATCATAAATTTTCTTTAAGAACATTATATCATCATATTATTATATAGATTTATTTATGTATAATATTGTTACAATTCTAATCTTATTAATATATTTGTAATAGTTAATATATATTTCATTTATATAAATAATTATTCGTTTAAATTGTGAAACAAAATAACACACGTATTAAATTATGTATGAAGTTATTAATAGTATGTATACGTTTTAGCTTAATAATAATTTATTATTAACTACATACTCGTATATGTTTAGGTACATTAATGGAATAGATGGAGAAACAGAAATTCTATTAATAACGCATACTATTAAAAAACACTAAAATATTTATCTATGATATTTTCTAAAATTGAATAAGGTTTAAAAAAAATATATGGCAATTAATTTTATAATGTTTAATGAAGCAAAAAAAAAAAAATTATTTAAATTAATGTTTTTTTTTAATTAATTTAATTTTTTTATATATATTTCTAAAAAATTGAAAAAGTTAATAATCTATATAACTATTGCAAAGTGAATATTATTTTATAACTTTAAAAAAAAAACGATATATATGATGACATTAAGTTGTTTTAAAATTTAGCATATTTTATGTACTATCATTAGAATTAACACTTATATTTTCATATATTAATTCAAATATATGTAAGAAAATTATGATAAATTATATGTTAATATATATGACAAAAATAATGTATATTTTCTCTTTTTGTCTCTCACTCTCACTCTACAAATATATATATTATATAAATTTTCAGTTGTATAAAATTAGAGAAGGCAAGGAAAACTTCAAAATCTTATATAAATCATGAATATAAATTCTAATGATTCATTTAGATATATTTAAATATAGATGCTATTTTACAAATATAGGATATATTAGATAAAATTTGCAAGGATATATTATCAAGTATATAATTTGCAATAATTAATTAAAGTACATCTTTACACAAAAGAACAATAAATTTTTTTATTCTTCTTTAATTTTGCATCTTATATTCTACCTTGCTACAAAACATTTATGAGTATATAAATATAACTTAATAACATTGAAATAAGAAATATGTTGAAGACAGAATTATTTACACAATGATTCCCGTTTAATATAATTCATTAAAATAAAGAATACAAAATCAAATAAAAGAAATTGACATATTCATATGAACTCTTCCACATCATTATAATAAATTATTGAATTCAAGTAATAACATATTAAGAAATATAAGTAAACAAAATAAAATTTACATTTGTTTTGTTAAATATAAGTTTATAAAAAAATTTCAATTGTTCAGAATTAATTTAAAATACATGTATGTGTTATATTATTTATGATATACTTTATTTTCCACCGTAATTATTCAATATTTCTAAATAAGAACACTTGTAATAAATCGAAATATATTGCACATGCTATATATTTTTCCTAAGTTATAGAAAAATTGCAGAAAATTCTATATATAAAAATATATAGAAATAACTTTCTTTACATATACAATTCAATGTGCTAACTAAGGAATATGTAAAAAAAATAAAATAAAAAAATAGAACTGAATATGTCATATAAATGATTATGTATATTCAAAGAAGTGAACGAAGTAGAATTATTATGTTTTTCTATAATTAAAAGTAAAAATAATTTATGTAAACATAAGTAAACCATTCAAAGGATCAGAATACTCATTTATTAAATTATATATATAACTACTTTTTTTTATATTAAATAAAGTCCAGTATATAATGCAGTTATATTGCACTTATAATAAAAAATCAAAACTACAAAATATAAATAATTAGAATTAGCTTCAAGTAATAATTTATTGCAGTAAAAGAAATATTAATTTATTTCGTTTTCCAAGAACACCTATGGCATTTTTGGAACAACTTTGTTGCTATATTTTTTAGGACTTTCCTAAAAAATATGATTCTTATAGTTTTTCATATTTTTTTCCTATAATACAATGATGCATGGTGTGAAGTAAAAAATACAAAACGTTTGTGCAAAAAAGGAATAAAATTTCTATTTTATAGGCATTTAATTTGATATTACATATGTTACATTCAAATATATTTGTGAATTAGACAAAAATAATGTTATATTATTTACTTTATATAGAAAATACCGGAAAATTTTATATTTCAATATCTGTATATTTAGATAGTTAGGTAATATAAAAATTAGCACAGTCTAATCGTCCGCAACATCAGATTAAGCAATTAAATATAAACTTCCGTCTACTTGTTAAAAATTGTGCTAATATTTTTGAATATTACACAATAATTTTTATTTCAGATTACTAATATCAAAAAATATGTAGAAGTAGCTCTTATTCACATTTTATGAAGTTTCTAATTAAATCCAAAAGTGATCTCCTAAAATATATGTGGAAATATAAATTTAATAACATCCAAATATAGAATGAGTAGATATAACTTATTCGCAATATCTTTTCTAATCCTTTTCATTAGAATGTTGTTATATTTGAGGTCACTAATTTTTTTAAATATTCAAGCACATATTTCACAACTTTCAAATCTTTTGAATTTGCAATAAAATAAGTGGAAGATGATGGTTTCTTAGTACACTTGTTTTAATTCACAGACGTAATATTGACTATACAAAACTAATGGATAAATAAGTATAATATTTTCAATATATTTATTATTATAATCAATTCACAATTCTTTATACGTATAGTAAATAATGTATGAGTTTGTAACTCTAAAGTAATAATATTTTATAAAAATAGAACATTTTTTTAATAGGAATTTACTTGTCTTTTATAGGGTTCCTTGAAATTCGTTTGTAACACTTTATTATCTATATATTTTTAACCATAATCCTTGAATTTACTTAAGACACTTTTCAAGCTTCAATAATTTTTGTATAAATGTAATTGTTTAAAAAATGAATTATGAATAGCACTAAAAATGTACGTATTATAAAAATATCAAAAAACTCTCTTGAAACAAATTAGCTGTAAGATATGCATATTTATTAAGGAATACATGGATTATTTTTAATGTACATCCCTATTATACCCAGGTTTTTTGGATTATAATTTTTTCAATATGTTTTTTTTCTCTCAATTGCAACATTTTATGTATGGCATAATTTTAATTTATATATTAATGATCCCTTTCGTGTTACATAGGTTCATATTCTTGTTTATTTTCGTATGGTATTTTAAATATTATACATTTATAGAGGTAAGCGTAAAACATACTTAATCGATTATACTTATTATTTTAAAAAGTAAAAATAAAATAATATATATTTTTTTAATTTTATTTGTAAGATATAACATAGCATCATTCCCATAAAGAATTAATTTATTTAAAAAAGATATATATAATTTAAAAGATATATTACATTCTCAGAATTTTGTTTATATAAAGGTCTTTATTTAAACATAACCCAATAAATTATTTTCAGGGTCATCAATTTTTATACAAATGATTACTATAACGCATTTGCATATAAGAAATTTAAAATGAATTCTATAAGTTTCAAATATATATAATCGTTCAAATCTGCATGATATTTATTTTCATACTATTGATATAAAATTTTGATGTATAACCATGTTTCTTCTGTTGAAAAACTATGTTCTAGTTTATATTATATAAATACATGATAAATTTCATTAATGCAATTGGAGAAATATATTATTACAAGTAAATATTACAAAATAAAAAAAAATATATATATTTAACCTGATTTAGTATAAACATAAAAATTACTAAAGAATTATATTATAAAAAACAATAAAAATAATATTTTTATTTATGATATATAGCAATCTCATCATGAAGCACACTAATATATACCACATTATCTATTCAAAATGAATGAATTTAATGTATTCCCCACACATTAATATTCATTGAAATATATTAATTTTAGTTATTTTTTGTAAATACAGATTGCACTTTAATAAGATAGATTGAATTGTTTAACACAAAAATATGTTCAATAAAAAAATATTCATATAAATACTTCACATATTATAGAAAATATATGAGCATATTAGTTATAAATTTAATAAATTAAGAGAATATTTTAGATATATGTACTGAATATAAATAAAATTAATTCAAAAATATACTAAATAATATAATTAATATACGTTCTTTTCATACTAAATTGCTTATTATTATTATTATTATATATATATATATATATATATCAATTTATAACATGACAGGTTTTATATTAATATTTCCTTAATTAGTAAAGTTAATACTCATTTTATGTATAATGGTTTTTCTAAATCTGAGTACTCAAGTTATTCATTTTATTTTAACTATTTTTTTTTTTAGTTTCTACATTATAAAATGATATTATATATTTATTTTATAATGCATTTATTTTTTATTTTTATATATTTTTATGTTTTTCATTTAAGTGTACATATGAAACAATTGTTTTATTGCCCTTTAACAATTTATGAAATTTGTTAAGATATTAAAAATATGTACACACACATTTATTTATTTAGTTAAAAATTTTTATAATTATTAAAATATATATATAAATAATTTTACATGTTATTTGAACATAACAATCATTAAATTTTATAATTTGATAAATATTTAAAAGTTCTTTTATATTTATTCTATTAAATTACAAATAATCTAAGAGATTTTGTTGAAAATATTATAATTATATCAACCAATTCATTTTTGCTTAATTGTATAATTTTTTTGTTTGCAAAAATTCAGTAAAATAATTTTATTCTATTTCTTAAACTTTGGTATGTTGAATTAATATGAACATGAAATTACAATTATTAAGTGCCTTGGACTGTACTATAAGCTATTTTGCATCTTCCGTGATATAAATTTTGATGCTTTCTCTCAAATGATTCTATAAAATTGAATCATTTTTTATTATTTTTTTTTAACATTTTTCTTAACATCCTAACTCTTGATTGTAAATAAGATTCATAATTAGTATACTGAAGTAAATTAAAATTATAATATTTTATGAAGGAGTTATTTATTTCATATAAATATTTTAAATGTATTTGTAAAAACTATTTTAATATAATACATTTTTTACAAATTAAAATTATACATTACATTATATTCAATAAATAAAATTATTAATATTGAAAAAGTGAAAACAACAATGATGGTTGTGTTTCCTATGTTTGTAGGTACGTTAGTTGATATGTTTGTTCTTGCGTTTGTGATGGTTCTTGTTTCTACTGTTATAGGTGTTTTTTCTAATATATCTTGACTTGTTTTTGGAGGATAAAGAAGATCTAATATTTTTTATCCTTGCTCAGTACTGTGTAATGTCTTTCCAAAATTTATATAATCTTCATTAATATTGCCTAGTACTAATTTAAAGCTTCCATTGATTTTATATTTACACCCTTCTAATGATTTAAAATGTCCTTTAAATTTTTCAAAATCAGAATAATTTGAACTAGAAGCAGTTTTTAATTTGTTAAGAATGTCATGTAATTCGTCAAGACTCCTTAATACGTGAAATAAATCTTTATCAATATATTTTTTAACATTATCCTCTTCCTTACATACATCAGAAAATTGTGCAGGATATGAAATTTTATTGGGGTTCTTCTTTGTTCTCATATAACAATAGCAGTTTTCTGTTGTACTACAATTATCTCCATAATTTTGAACTACATTTTTCAATATGTAAAAGAAATAATTGCAATTTGCCTTTGTATTAAAATCAGGTTTTTTCTGAAGTTTATTTCTTAATATATGATCTAAGTAGACTCCTACTTTGGGGCAAGTTGTAAAAAACGTCATAGAATAGAATTTTGAGTTATTAAATAAGTAATTATTAAAATCACTGCATTCACCTGAGAGTTTATGCCGCAATTGTCCATCACGTGTTACAGCGAACTCATATTCTTTTTTCATATGGGGAATATTCCTACAAAATCGAAATAAATATAAAAATTATAATATATGTAAAAAATATAAATTAAATATTTACGAAAATGTAATTTTCTTCATTTTAACAAATAATTGTATTTTCATATTGAATTATATATAATATTATCAAATAATAATTAAAAACATACGTCCTTGTTAACATTTATTTTGTCATCCATTATGTTTTATACATATTCACAAATAAAAGGTATATTGTTGTTTACAATATTATAACAAAATATTTTTTATTTATTCTGGATATATAATGCAGAGACTTATGTATTAATTAATATAATTTATATTATTTTTTTTAAATTATATTTTTATTCAATTTCCACTATATATTATATTGTGGTAATTTAATATGTTTGGAATAAATTGAGCAATTTGAAATACAAATTCATGATATATAAAAATAGTTAGAACATTAAAGTATTATAAAAGCATTAAATAAAAATCTATAAATTTGTAGTGATACTATGCACATAATACCATCATATTAAAATAACTTTTCGATATATGGACATAAATTTTATATAGATGAATATAATCAGTAATTATATGATAGTATTTTTATGTATATATATTTAATTGTTATTGTATAATGTGTAATAATTGATTTAGCTTTAATGTAAGGAGTTTTAGAGATACAGTGCTATATAAATGATAAAATTTTCATGTTTTATTTAATAATTAACATTTATGCTTAACTGTTTTGTATATTATAATTTAATTAATCTCATGTAATAAATAATAGACATATTTTATATTATGTTATAAAATAATTTATTCTGCTCTTTTCTATACCTCCTAGATAATTCTAAAAAATGAATAAAAAAACATTTAATATTTATGTTATTTACTTTATTTCAGGGTAATTAAATATTATATATATATAATATGCATTTATAATTTTATTATATATGCTATTAAAGGTATAAACAAATATGGACATTATTTTATATATATATATATGAAAAACTGTAATTGGATTATCAATTATAATACGCTTATTTATAATAAATTATTAATTTCATTATATGAGGAATAAATAATATCTGAAATATATATTTCTTTAGATAAATATGAACGCATAAAAATGCTCATTACAAGTTGATATATTTATGTATATTTGTAATATTTTTATAATTGTACTTTTAAATTCATTGTATTTTTTATAAATATTTATAAGGAAATAAGCTTTATTAAGTATCTTAAATTCTTAAATTATACAATTTTTACAAAATATTATAAGTACAACTTTGGATAATAAACATTAATATAAAACAATTATTTTTAAAAATATATATGGAATTTTATTTGTTATAAGAAGAAATTATTCATTTATATACAAACATAATATAAAATATTATTACCCTTCTATATTTTCTTTTATCTTAGTGTCAAATATATTCTAAGAAATTTGACATAAAATTTTTTTTTTTTGTTTCTTCATGAGTCATTAATATTAACAAATATTTAAGTTATTGTGGAATTTTTATAAAGTTCATATTTACTGTAATAAAAATATATTTAATCATATAATTATCTTCATATGTAGTATGATGTGTATATTGATGAAAAATATGTTTAAATATATTTTTGATTCCAATTATATAATATAAATTGAATGTTATAAATTTATATAAATAATTCAGAAATAGAAAATGTCGAGAATTTAATGTTATTATACTTATTGTAATTATTATCGCTTTTTCATATATTAATTTAAGTATTCCGCTTATTTATTTTTATATTATTATTAAATGTTTACATCTTGAAAGGAAAAATCACGATAATAATATTTATTAAAATAATTATATTAATCCTTTTAACACGTGCATAGCGTAACAAAATAAAGAGATAATATAATAGTATATACGAATATTTTTATAATAAAAATTATATTTAAAATTTACACACCTTTAAGATTAATATATTATTATATATGTTTATAGCACCCTCATATTTATCTCAATATATTTTTGGCATATACCTATATAAAAGCTATAATAAGCATAAATGTATATTTGTAAGTTATAAATAATTGTTAGATAAACACGATGATTGAAACGAATCGAAATATACATAACCAAAATATTAAACGCCATGACATATAGATATTGTATAGAAAAAAAAAATAACATGAAATTTATACAAAGAAATAAAAATACAAAAAATGTAGAATAAATAGTTTTCATTGATATGTCTAAGTTTATATTAGTATATATTTTTTGTATAAGAGATTAAAAAGAGTTGATTATCATTTTCCAAATAAAATATTAGAGACCATGTAAAAAATTAATTATTACAAAACCACATGTGAAAACTGCTGATAAAACCATAATAAAAATCCTTCTTTTAAACATGTTGCTTATTATTAAGGGGAACTTTTTTTTATTTTATTTAGTGAATAAATTGTATTTATAAATTTATTGAATTTTATACGTTGAATGAAATAAGTACAATCAAATACATTGTATATAAAATTTTATAAGGAACTCATTTAGATGATCGAACGTTACTACTAATATTTCTTATATGAATTATTTTTTTTCTGATGGAATCAATTCATTATTTTCAGTTGAAATATTTATTCAAATTAGTGTTATATTATTAGTAAGGCTTTAATAAATTATTATAAAAATTAGCTATATTTATAAAGTTAAGAAATAAAACGGGAAATATAGACATATTATTTTTTAGTAAAGAAATTATTAATATGCTATAAATGCTACAATTATAGATATTGTTTAATATTATTTAAAAGTTCTGTTATTCATTAGATTATATAAAATCATAACGTGAAATAAATATAATATAGAAGAAAAAATTTATATAATACACAATGGCAATAAAATAACTTATTTTTTATCTTATTTTTTTTGTTTAATATATATAAAAAATTAACATTTCACCTAAAAATAAAAATAGTATATACATTTTAATCATACAACCCTCATCAAATTTAAAATATATTACTTTTATATCTGAAACATGTAGAAAATTCAAAATAATTTTTTTTTACTTTTATTACAATTGTTTAAATTTATATACAATATATATCTTTCTACATCAATATTTCTTGCAATTATGTATGCTTTTATTAATCTATATAAGACAATTCATTTCTTTACACAATAATTAGTATATTTATAATTAATTCTAATCTAAAAATGTACACTTACTGTAATTCAAATTTAATAGTATATATAATAAATTTTCAATCAAAAAAAATACTTTAATACATAATTTAGAGATAATATAAATATGTATATAGAATAACAAGAAAATGAAGAAAATCATGTTTATATACTCTTATTAATTGCATTATATATGCGTTTTTTTGATTAGTTATTATTAATAAAATATTATATAAATTTTTCTTATACTACTGCATCTTGTAAAAAGGTACTATATACATTTTTATGGAAGCATAATTATGGTTATTAATAATATATTACTTATTATACTATATTATATTTCACATCATATTTATGTATACTGTATAAATAACATAAATAATATCTATTATTATGATATATAATTATTTTTAAAAATAATATTAGCATTTTTATTTCATATATAAAAAGGTTACTAAGAATATTTTTTGCAGTTTATATAATTTAGGATATATTTTTATGTTATATGTATCCACATACTGCTATTAGTTATCATGTTTTATGTTATATAATTTTTCTTTCTTTTTTTTTTTCAAATTATATAAATATATTATGTGTCTTATACGTTACTTAAGCAATTATTTTTTGTTTATTCTAATATGATTTCACTATATTTGAATTCTACTAAAAGAATAGTACGTTTTTTATACTTCTATTTATATAGGTAATAGATATTTTAAATAAAATATATAATCATATATATATAATTATATTTTTTATATAACTATATATAAAATAATATAAAAGTCTAAAATAATCATATATTATGTGTCATGCACATTATTTAGCATATTCAAAAATTTGACGTATATGTTACAGTAATTTAGTATTATGTGCTTTCATATAAAAATATATGTACATTCTTAACTTTTATAAGTAATGAATGTACTAAAAGTAATACTTAATAATTATGTAAAATTTAATTATTTTATACATTAATAAAAATTCAAAAAAAAAAAAAAAATGCCATAAAAAATAAAAATATACAAAAAATCTCTTAATTATATGATATTTTATAATTTATGTTCCTTTACACTCTAATGAAACGAATATAAAAAAAATAATTGTAAACATTAATAGAACAAATTAGGGATGGAAAATAATTTTCCTCTAAATATAGCATATTATAACTGTTATGAAAACATATATTGTTCAATATTATTTATTAGTATATATTTAATAATGGAATGTATAATTTCCTATAATATTACATGACAATATATTACCATGCATAGTGATGTAATTTATATCATCTGTATCCTTTATTTATTACCTTTACACTTGTCCTTATATGTTGCTATATTAGTTATATATTATTTTATTTTTTTTTATTTGAAACGAACGAAGTTTAAACTTAAAATACATTTGTCTGCGTAATTGTATATTAAAACATAAAGAACGCAATATTTATTAATATGGTTTACGTATATTATTCATGTTTTTATTGAATAACATTTAAAATAAAATTTTATTATCATTATATGACAGTTATTTTAATTGACTGAAATTTTGTAATTCATTTTTTTTATTACAAGTGTTATTTCATTTTCTATTGATTTTATTACATAGAAGAATCTAGTAATCAATTTTTTACTACTTTTATATATTCATAAAAAACACTATCTACTTGTTTTATATATTATCTTGTAATATTAGGTATTGTTATACAATATATTGTAACACTTTTTCACTGAAAAAGAACTGTACATCACCAATCGTTGAGAATTATTACATTTTTCATTTCTATTATCCCAATTATTACTTTTTCATATTATTCTACTACTCATGAAAGAACTCAATGCGGTGAACTCTTTGATAATTAAAAATAATATTAAATATATATATGATTTTTCTAGTACACATATATTTTTTCATATTATTTAGATATGTATACATTAGGATAATCTGTAATTATATATAAATAAGATCATAAATAACATTAGTCCTCATAAATAATAAAATCGGTATTAATATTATTACAGTAGTTGAAATTAAAA